GGGGGGGGGGGGGGGGGGGGGGTTACCTGGGTTACTTATGTAGCTTGGGTTACCATTAGCAGAAGGTAAAATCAATAATTTCGTCAGGTCATTTCGTTTTCCGGAGGGGGGAAGATTTTCTTGTTAGTCGATTGTGTTGCCTAGTTCTAACCACCTCCCCCCTCCTCCTCTTTCCTCCCTTTGCTGGTTGCGGCTATGATTTGGTTTTGTTTTTTGTTGTGGAGTGTATATTAGTGTAGAAGTGTTACATCAGAACATTTTATATTTTTATGATTTTTAGATGAGACCATGATGATCGAAGCCGATGTAGTGTTGGGAATACTCAAGACGGATAACAATAGTACCCCGCCTTATCCAGTTATGGGTCATCCGCCACATCTTCAAAATCTCGATCTCAGCCTCGAAGAATTTTTAAAACATATTTTAGATGCGCACTCTAAAGAGAACAAGAAAGTTGGAATGAAACTCGATTTTAAAAGTATTGAAGCGTTTGAAGCCAGTATAGATATTGTTAAAAAGCATAATGTAAGTATTATAGTATTAAGGGGTCTACCCTCTCGGTCATTTTTGAAAAATCGATTTTTTTATTGCATTTTTGAATCGCTTAAACTTTCAACAATTTCCTCCTACATTTTGGTACAGAAATTCCAATTCTAAGACAGCCAAAATCAGGATTAAGCACGAGCTTATACACAGCGCTTAATGGTACTTGAAAAGTTTGAACGCGTTTTACGCATAATAACGTTTTTCAATGCCTAGTTCATAAAATTTTGAAATCTATTACTATCTCTACCATACACTAAATAAAATTAATAATTAATATTAATAATTGTAGTGCATACAAAATGTTTTTCAAAATTTTTCGAAATATGTCAATTTGTCAATTTTTTCAACTTTTTTAAAAAAACATGCGTGGCGATATTTCAAACAAATCTGGAAAAAATATATGTTATTGAATAACATGAAAATAGTACTTTTTGATACGAAAAAAATGATTCCAACCACGTCTCTGACGAGTCAAAACTTCTTGTAGAATTTTCCAAAAATCGACAAAAAACAGCGAAAAAAACCACTTTTTCAACACTCATTTGTCGCTGGGCACCTCCAAAATTTTTTTTCGGGCTAAAACTTTAGGAAAAGTCTTTTTTCATGTTATTCAATAACATCTATTTTTTTCAATTTTTTTTAAATATCACCGCATAAGTTTTTTTTAAAAAAGTAGGAGAATGACCCATACAGTAAATTTTGCTAAAATCAAAAATCTTTCTTTACGCGCTATAGCTACATTCATAAATAGTGTCTGCTAAAAATTTGATGATAATCGGTCCAGTAGATTTTAAAATTCTTCAACATACCAAACCTATTTTTTCAAACATTTTTCAATCAGCCGTTCCATAAAAATTCACCGATATTCATAAAAAATTTGTTTCATGTAGTTCGAGAGTGTATTTATTGAGTGTAGTAGTATAGTGTATTTATTGAGACAACTTTATTTTTCACTCCACCGAGAAGGTAGACCCCTTAATTTAATATCTATAAAGGGTAATTTTTTATCTTAAGCTGAATCGTTTAAATGAATGTTCAAGTCTTTTTGGTTCTGTAGTTTGATTAGTGTAAATTGATATTACAAAACTTTCTTAAAAATACTTCTTACAGTACTTTATAGCAATATATTTTATTATTATCTTGAAAATAATTTCTGACATATTTCAATTAAGATTGAATGTTTTGTATGCAACATATATAAGTTAAGCGAACTTTCTGCCACATAAACCAATATTTTATATACATCAGATAACCGTGCCACTCTGGGTAAACGCCGACATCCTCGAAGGACCTGTAAATGCGACTACAGCCAACGGCGCGCCATTAGCGGTCAATGCAAAGCTCTTCCTCGATGGTGCTGCCAAGCTACCGCAAGCTCTGCTATCGATCGGCTGGACCACCAGGTGAGACAGGCAGTGTGCAACTTCATGTCATGCACCAATGACCTATTGACCTGGTCGCAAAAAAATTCAACTCAATAAACGGCTGACATAGTTCAGGACCTAATCGTCACTTTCTCTGATCAATGATATTAATGTCCTTTGCAATATCTCACTTTGAACGGCTGCTTAAAAAACTTAATAACTTAACTTAATTTTTGATTGCTCAAATGTTTAATTCAAGATTACGTTACACATTGATATTTCTAACGTTAATATTATACAAAATGATAAATACAAGAAATGGAATATATTTTTTCATTTTTTACAGAGTATTGAGCCAAACAGGTTTAAATGCAACTTACACTGGTAACTATACTCTTGAGCAAGCGAACATCATGATTTCCAAATTGCAAGATTCAAAAACAAATCAGTCGGTAACTTATCCTGTGCGAGCTTGCTTTGTTGCTAATGATGATAAAGATACCGACGTTCTTGGCAAACTATTAACCAACAGCTCAAGCAACAACCCAACCCTCACAGTCTGGTCTGCTGTTGAAGATAAAAATGTTAATGCAACTAAATTATCAGAAGTAATTAAACGCATCGGGGTTGAAAAAGTCTACCTCGATGTTCCTGAAGAGCTATACAACAAACTCAGCCTCAATTCGGCTATTAACACCAAAAATTCAAAGTTGATACAATTTTCATCTTTGCTACTTGCTGCCATTGCATCATTAAGAATTCATTGAATGACTGTAGAGATAATATATTAAATCGGCTTTTACAGCTTACTGATGTGATAATGTGAAAAGATAAAAAGAACGAGCTTTTAACATTATTTCTGACAAAATTGTCTCTGATTCATACAAACTAGTTACTTCATATAAATACTTTCGACATAAATGACAGAAAGATAAAAATGAATAAATAATTATTGAGTCGCAACGTTTAAAGGAAACGTTCCTTGCGCATATTAATATTGATGATTTTGAATTCTTTTAAAGAATTAATGAAAGTAATAATAGAAAATAATGCAGAACATCAAAGCTAACAGTCAAATTCCAAGCTTTTCATTAGTTACTTTTTTCGTTTTTAACTTTTTGTTTTGTTTAATGTTTTCTATAGTAGGGAGGCAACTCGCACAATTTTCAAAAAAATTTATTAATGCTGCATTTTTTATTTTTTTATAAAAACTTCAGGTATATTTATTGTAATTTAAATTTTTAGATGAAATTTCAAAGTATGTAAAAGTTTTGCAATCATTGCAACGATTTGATTTTTACTTCAATTTTTTCTTTCTTAAGATCACTAACATATACTTGATCCTTACATCTATGTACAAGTATAATACTATATTTAAAAATATGTTTCAAAAGACTAACGATCTTCAGCTTAACTAAATGTTATAATCGTTTTTGTGTAGTAAATTGTTGAAAAAAGTATAATATTGACTCGATTGAATTTTTAAATTTCTCGAAAAATTTATATTTTAATTACTTTATTGTTGTTAATACATTATACATTTAATACAATCAATAAATAAAATGAAAAACCATAATTCAATTGAGGACTATTATAGTATATTTTTCCTTAAGATATTTAGCTTAGCTTGTAAGTTATCATTACTTGAGATTTGAAATAAATCTAGTATTATGAACTGTCGTTGTTCAAGTCCTTCAATAAGTATATCATACAAAACAATATACGATTCAAACGATTTTACTGACATAGGTAAGAGTTAAATAGTTAAATATAAATTTTGAATGGAAAATAAATACGTTGAAAAATTGTTAAAATGTTATCGTTAAGTAATTGATTAAACATTTAAATTTTAAAGTAATTAATTTTCGTTAGCTATCCTAAAATATATGCATTTTTATGAACTGTTAATGTATTAGTCTTATTTGAAGAATGACATCGAATATTTTTTGAGGTGTGGAATCATCGAAGAGAAAAGAAGAAAAAAGGTAGATCTATTGATACGTGATTGACTACAAGTTAGTTTGTTGAACAAATATACTGTCCATAACTTTGATAAAAGTAAAAAACCATTAAATGTATGTATGTAACATGTTATCATTCACATTAATTTTTTATCATCTATAATGAAATTTTTCGAAAATAAATAATATTTAAAATGTAAACATTTTCCCAGTATTTATTTGAAATTTCATCTCAATACTAAAATATTATTATCTCATGTATTCACTCCGTATAGTTGACTATTTTATCAAAATTTTTATAATTAGGTTATCAAATCTTTTCAAAATCAATGCAATTACACACAACCTTTTCAGCAAAAATATATGACGTAGCATTGGAAAAATTAAAATCTGCAATACTATGCATAATTCACAAAAAAAAAAAAAAACTAAGAAGGGACTTTGTAAATATCTTTGCTATTTATGTAAGAAAAGTTATTTTTATTTTGTTTTAAACTTACTCTCTTTTCTTTAACTTGTATAGAAACTTTAGTTTTGTAGCTCAATTAAATAAATGACGCTCTACATTAAATTATTGTTATTTTTAATGCACTAATTGACTTTTAAGCTATCATTTTTTGCTACTATGTTTTCGTGTTCTATATAATTTTTTAAAAGGAGTTCATTGTGTTCTTTCAACAAATTGTTTGCTATACTCGATATAGCAAAAAAACTGCTGCACATTAAATTTACATCTAAACTCACGTACAGTTTGTATTATACACTTACTTTCATGTACTTTTGTTCGTTTGTACGTAATAAAGTAATTTATAAAAAAGTTTTTACTACTTCTTTAGAGTATGGTTATATTATGGATAATATTTTGAGCAGTATGTAATTCAAAAATAAAAATTGTATACTCTTTCCTGCCATCCTAGTTATTTTCAAATTAAATTAAAAAATGTATTAGGCATTTTTTTGAGGTAGTCTCTGTAACTGCTGATGCTGTTTATGCTGCTTGATAGTGTTGCGGTTTTCAGCCGGCTTATTTTGTTCATAAAGTGGGGGAAGCTGTACGCATGCGCTTTGAACAGCGTCAGTTGTTGGCGCCTGCTATACTCAGCTCGTTCGCCGGGTTTTACTATAAGCGCGTGTACTGTTCGCCTCCACCGATCCGATCAGTCGCCCGCGATACCTTAAGCACGCGCGTCATGAAAATCTGTTACTATCGCCGTGACTCTACAACATCGCTCACTCGTTTAAATATTTAAAATGCTCGAAATAATTATCAGTAAAATACTTTTTTGTTTATTCTAGGTGCGTACTGAAAGTGATTGTTGCTTAATGAATACTTACAATGGTTTCAACAGTGTAGTTGGTTTTGTGATCAATCGTGAATGTTCTCTATGTGTGTAATTTTTTTCAAATAGCATTGAAAACTTGATGCAAGTAATAATCGTCACAACTAATGAACGAGAACCATAAATGTTTTAAAGTCATGGTTCAATGTTCTGAAGTCGTGGTTTTGACAGCCTCGTCAACTATCAGCTTTGACATGTGTAATGAAATGCAAATTTATATTATAGCTCTCTCGGCAATTTTCTAGGTCATATATGAAGTGTAAAAGGGCCTAAAAAGTTGAGCGAGTGCTTCAAACAAGAGTCAAAGAGCATAACGAGAAGCGACACGTCGAATGTCGACTAAAGGGTAACTCGATCATGAGGGTGAACCTGCGATTAATTGCACTGCTGGTGTTTCTGGAGCTTTTACTCATCTGTACTGCTGTAAAAACTCGTGTGGAAGGTGATACCAAGCTTACGTCTTATCGACATCGCCATCGACACCACCATGGCTGGTCAAGCTCAAACAATAGAAAACGTTTGTACGACGACTATGATTACCCCAACGAATCTGATGATTACGACGACGACGAAGACGATGACGATGACGACGACGATGACGAAAACGCAAAAAAAAGCTTTGAAACACTGAGGCGCAATTACCATGATAGATACGATCTAAACTGGCGTTCTCGGTATCATCGGCGTGGCCCTCCACTAAGCTATTTTTCCCAGGCTCACGTTTACAGATCGCGCTTCGTCCACCGCTCCAATCCCTACCCGCACAACGACTACAACTTTGAGGAACCTTACCGACTAAGGTGGCACTACGACGAGGATGATACTCACTCGCTTAATCAGAGGTCGACTCGGCCGAGAATTCAAAATCGTAGGACGAGGCCCTGGCAACTGCCTCGTAAGGACTTGCAGTACGACGACGAGGAAGATGACTATTATCTGGACGACAGCGATAACGACGACGGAGAGCGTAGTGAGGAGGACAGAATCAATCGAAAACACATAATGCGAAAGTCCCAACAACTTCGTGATAGCGGTGCCAGTAAACTCGAAGAGTGGATGCGAAAAGCTAACGGCAATGGCTCATCAAAAGTAAAAGCTAATACACACTCGGAGCATGAAGAGCAGGACGATATTTGGAAAGAATTTGAAACCGATGAAAATCCCAGATCATTTCATAAAACTTCAGCAAATATCAGTTCAAGTCGAATCACTTACGACGATATTATACGCAAACTCAGTAACACAAATTCAGACACGATTGTAACACCAATGTCTGTCAAACGAGATTATAGAAATGCGTCCCAGAGGCACGAGGCTGCTCCAAATCATTTGGAAGAACGCTGGGAAAACAAAGATAAACTTCGGAAATTCCAAGATGAACGCAATGATGATGAGGCCGATCAGTCGGATTCCAAAACGGTAAATCATACTACTTAATTTCTATTGAATTCACGTGAAATGATTGTTATGCATAAATCAACAATTTTGTAAAATGAATCCTACACAAAAAGTTCCATAATCATATAAAAATTAAATAAATAGAAAATACAGTAAAAAACTACAAATTTGGTTTTTAAAACCAAACAAAAGCTTTAAGCAACCCCATTATCTTCCTTTGTCGGAGCGTACAATATGCTGCCTACTAAATCATCGGACAGTATCTTTGAAGAATAATCTTTTGAAACCACGTGACTTTTTCTTGCAATACGTATTTACACTTCATAAGTATGCGTGAAGAGGAAGAATAACATTCAGAAGAAGAATTCACGCAAAAAAGAAATTATTGTAACTTTTTGAGCTTATGTGAAACCCGTTGAAATAAATATAGCATCCTGTATACATTAATTGTATACATAATCATATGTAGCCTTTGAAAAAACAGAAACGCTCTTATAAGTAAAGAAAAAAAATTTTTCTTAGATTATTTACTTTAAAAAATAATAATAGTGTAAAGATAGCACCGATTAATGAGAAAACCACAGGATATTAATCTAACATATAGAATGCAGGATATAACTTTTTTCTCAATAATTTTTAATTAGATTTGATAAAAAATATTTTAATATAACAGATACAACTTGATAATTAGCATTTCAGATGTATGTTTATTTAACTTTCCATATTATAATTCGTAATCCATTTTTTCATTACGGTTATACAATATGGAATAATGATCGATGCACCATCGATAAACACAAGTAAATTATTAATAACTTTTCCGTAACTTGTACAAGCACAAGACACTAAATCACTAATTTATCAACTGCGACAGCAAATCTCTTTGAAGCATTTTATAATCAACTACTAATACTAAAAATACATAACAAAATAGTTTTAAAAGCTAACATATTTTTGAGAGAATATCAGAGTCATTGATTATTGATTCGTGCAAGACATTTTCAACTCAACATTTTATTGAATAAGCAAATCGAAAGTCAAGATTTTAAAAATTGAACGACGAGAGTTATACTTGCAATAAATTTCAATCAAATTGAAAAATAACGACCACGACAAAATCTGTATTTGAGTATGCTAGATCAACCTATAAATCAATAAAAAAATTTATTTATGATATCGCTTAGTAAGATACATATCAATGTATTTATCCAGCAACTCTTTAAAATACTGTAAGGAGTAATTTTCAATTATCTAAATAAACCAGCTCGTTTGAATTTCTTACATTCTTTTTAACTACGTCAATGTTGTTATATTCATCGACTGAAACAGACAGTCGAGCTAGCTCATGTTCTGAGTTCTTAATAATTTAGCTCAAAAATAAAAATTTGGTAATATTACTATCTATAAAAGTATCTAAAGAGCAAGTATAGAAATGATCGAAATAAAAAGTAATTGAAACAGCACCTTTTACCAAGAAAAAATTATTTTAAATTTTGAATACTCATCGCTTAATCTGTATTAATAATAATAGAGCAATCGCTTAATAGTATTTTATATTATTCATAAAAAGGAACTTAAATTCATAAAATTAATTATTCAGTCAAGAACATCATATACTTAATTTATAAGTATTAAATTTTTACTTTTTATAATGTTGAAAGTCACAATTTTCATTTTTCGAAGATTATTAGTAAAATCACACATAAGCTCTGTATTTTATTTATACATACATACATAAACATAAAAAAGATCCTGAACCACATTTTAAATAAAATACATTCATCGTAATTATAATTTGTAAAAAAATTACCACTGTGGTTCTTCAAATCAATATAGACTTTAGCTTCATACTTACCAAAAAAGGATTTCGAAGTATTTATTACTACTGATTGAAATGTAAAAATAACACTTTAGTCGCAAAAATATTTCGTTTCTTTATTAGTGAACTTTTTTGTTAATCAATTTACTTATTACGCAATATCTTGCACCTCAATTTAAATAAGATTTATCTAAATACACTTCCAAATGAACAATCAATTTAAAAAATTACCAATTAAATTAGAAAATTAAAAAAGCCGGTATGAAAAATTCGAAAAAATAATTTTAAGGTTGCCCCCAAACAGCTTACATGTATTTTAAATGAGGAAAACTTAAAAATTGGATTCCTAGCGCTAAAAATGATGGAAAATTTGGAAAAACTTCATAAGCCCATGTATGTAGGGTAAACGGTCCAGTGTATGACCACCCACCAGTGAATGACCGATCGATGAATAATTACTTATAAATTGAATATACGAATGTTAATTTAATTTATAATATTTTCCCAACATTAAGCTATGTTATACGTACAGATTTAATCAACTTTTGACCAATAAAAATTGTATTATCTACAAATAAATAAATGTAGAAAATTTTTTGGTGGTCATTAACTGGATGAGGCGTCGATTTACATACAACCAGTATATGACCGATTTTTTAAGAATACAATCATATACAGATTAGGTTTGCCAATAATCTACTTGTACTGATTTTTGCATAAAATCAATTTAAACAGAACCATTTTACCAGTACTGTACCAGTGACAATGATTTATGATTAGATTCGATTATTAAAACAAAAGACATCGTTCAATTTCGATAAAATCTTGTAGAAAAGTATATTGGTCATTCACTGGTTGTCACCCGGTCATTTATTGGGGAAAGTGGTAATTCACTAGCGTTTTCGTAGTGACTCATGAAATCGTCGTTTTAATAATATTAACGTTGTTAAAATGATTTTTAAATATTTTTTACCCTACTTTATGTATTTTTTGAAGTGGGATCGATTCGTGATCTTCATTTGACCTTGAACATAACCTAAAAGCTACAGAAAACAAAATATCGTGAAAACCCGTTTTTCACATGGTGACCCCCATTTTTTATTGCAGATAAGAAAAAAGCGGAAAATTTTACGTCTGGATAGCCCCTTTTTTCAAGGTCATTTTAAGGAAGCTACAAAAGAAACGAAATCCTACAAAAGTTTCATATACCTTTATTTAAGCTTATTTTAGCGTGAATAATAATATGTATCAATACTCTTTTAAAAAAAGCATCAGCCAAAAGTATCATCAATTTATACGCGTTCTGATTAGTAGAGAGAATGATGTTACAGAATGTATCAATTTGTTGTCAATTGATGTAAGTTGTATGCTTTGATTCATTCCCCATAGGAGGCGTGAGCGAGTCATGAAGACAAGAATGATTGATTGATTGACTTTTCATTAGGGACCTTTGGGTATAACCCTATCTGGCCCCACCATTGAGTTCAGGGCCCGCGGTAGCCCAGTGGGCAGAGGCTCTGTTTTGTGCCCGGGAGATTTTACTAAATACTTGCGCGAGAAACCACGAGAATTTCAAGGTCTGCTGAAAATAAAGAAAAAAAAGAAAATTTCGTTCTGAATGATGAGACAATAAATAATACAATATGTAATAAGATATTAAAGAAGACTTTGTAATCCGTATAAGAAATTATGTTCAAACATTGTAATGATTAATGTAAAGACACTAAAAATGTACTACTCTTAAGATGAGTTCAGAGCGCTCGGAACGCGCTGTTTCATTGGCTAATAGAATTGACAATATAAATGAGTTCAACTCATTCAAATTTTGCTTACTTTAAAAAAAACAATTTCTCCTCAAAATTATACGTGAATATTTAATGTAAAAATTAAAAAATGATCACATTTAAATACAAATCACATTGTCGTGATAAAATTATATAATATATAAATTAACGGATGAAAGTAGAGAACAAGATTAAAATCTTAAAAACGAGTTTTATCTTTTTACTCTCCTATAATAAGGCTAGGGTGTTTTATTATGCAATTGCAGCTACTGTTGTAAATACTTTAGAGTTTAAGTCTGAAAGTTTTATTTGTTCTAGATGAGTTATAAATGTATACAGTTGTTACGAAGAAAAATGTTTGTTTTGCTAATAAGTTGGCAAGTAGAGAAGATATTTTTGTATGGATGATAAAGTAAAATTCTCTTATCATGTAACAAAGTATCGTGCAACTTATCTTATGTATAAGTGATATCGGCTACAATGATGTGTTACATGTCGCCGCCCCATATACGGCATCGGTCGAATGTTTTGGTACACTATAAATGAAAAACATGAAAATCAAGGATTTCTATTAAAATTTTTTGTTTCTGATGTTAAAATATGTTTTTATAGGTTCTTTTACAACAAAAAATATGTCTCTAGTTCCTCTTATTATTAAGAATCGTCCATTATTCATGTATATTGACTTGTGATTTCCAAGTCATTGACCGCATGATTTTGAATGCAATTTTTCATCAATCCTGATCCTTGGGGTCTCAAAAGATTTGTAATAAAATTCTTTTCCACTTAAATGTAACAGAGTTTAATCAAAAGTCTTGGACAATTTTTTTCATACTAAAGTACAACGAAATGACAAAAATAGCTAATTTAATAACGCTTATTGCTATATTTGGAGATAAGTAGATTAAAAAAATAACTAAATAAAAAATCTGCTACACTTAAGTGGAAAAGGATTTTATAACAAAACTTTTGAGACCCCAAGGATCAGGATTGGTGAAAAATTGCTTTCAAAATCATGCGGTCAATGACTTGGAAATCACAAGTCAATATACATGAATGATGGATGATTTCCAATAATTAGAGGAACTAGAGACATATTTTTTGTTGTAAAAACACCTATAAAAACATATTTTAACATCAGAAACAAAAAATTTTAATAGTAATCCTTAATTTTCATGTATTTTATTTATAGGCATATACACAGGTGTATACCCCTTAATTGAAGATACATTCGAATCCCATCAAATTTTTCTATGCTTTTCTCAACAAAATATACCAATTTTGACATTACCATGCCTCTCACTTTTCATACTTTTGTTCAAAAGCATTTTATGACACTTAATTGGTGGAAATAAACTGCACGACCTATAAAAATACCCAAATTTTTCTCATGTAAACGTTACCTCAAAATGCCTCAT